TTTCATCCAACCCCTAGTTTCAAGTATCACTGGAGCTGTTTTAATCCAGCTCTGTCACACCTAATATTTGCTGATGATCTTCTTATATTTTCACATGCTAACATTATTTTAGTGCAGGTTATCAAACAAGCTCTTGCTTTTTTCAGCTGGTTGTCAGGAATTTCCTATCAATCACACGATGAGTAATATTTTTTTTCTGGTGTTACCACTTCTCTAGAGGCTACCATATTGAACACTCTTGGGATTCAAAAGGGAGCTCTGCCCATTAGATACCTTGGAGTGCCTCTTATTTCAACAAGACTCAAATTATTGGACTACAAAATACTCATTGAGAAAATTACAAAAAGAATCAGCAACTGGACAAGCAGATTTCTCTCATTTACAGAAAGAGTCCAACTTATAAAGTCAGTTCTTTGCAATATGCTCATGTTCTGGGCTACCAAGCTCATCATTCCTATCAGTAGTACATTGAATGAAATCAACTACATTCTTAGAAAATTATTATGGACTAGCCAAAAACTCAAAAAAAGTGGTGCCAGAGTTACTTAGAATAATATGTGTAGGCCCATTTCAGCTGGGGATCTAGGTATTCCTCATTTACAAACCTGGAATAATGTTGCTATCATGAAACATCTCACCAAGGATAGATATGTCTAGACTTTAAAGATTCCACAACCTTGCTCTTGGACCTGGAGAAAATTTTGTAGCTTAGACCTGCCATCAAACCCTTTGTCAAAATAGAAATTGGTAATGGCCATAATACTAATTTCTGGATTGACAATCAGTGTTCTTTTGGCCCTCCATAGCATCACATTACTCCTGCACAAATTCATAACACTCATGTTGATCTCAGCACAAAGGTTTTCATTGGATCTTCATGGACACTCTCATCTGCTATCACTGCCATTATCGCACAGTTTCTTAACCTCAATGTTCTACCATTAAAGTCACTACCTTATCCCTTACCACCATACTCCCTTGGACTCATCTCTCATGCTTCACAAATGAAATTCCCAAGCATAACTTCATATTATAGGTATCGATTTTGCACAAATTACCGACCTATAATCTCAAGCCAGTAGCCCATTGGAATACTCTAAAACCATGTAGCCTTTGCTCAACAAATCCGGAAACACGTGATCATCTATTCTTTCGTTGATCGTTTATCTCACCCTTGTGGAACTTTTTACAAGCACGTTGTGCCTGCTACACTCGACTTTCATCATGGAGAGAGTTTATCACTTGGGCATGCCAAATTTGGATAGACAAAAATGATCCTAGGAACACAGTTCGTAAGCTATGTCTTACAACACTAATATACAACATTTGGTTGGAATGCCAAATTTTGTCCAATAGCAGAAGAGAACAGAGATACACAAATTCTATGTTTCCTTAAAGAATTGTAATTTATTTTTCTGCTTTGGTTAGATTATAAATTGTTTTTAGGGTTTTGTTACGAAATTGCCAAAGGGGGAGATTGTGAGATATTTTTGTAAATTGGCATATTTCGGTAACAAAACAAGTCCTAGTCGAGTTGTAATTTCAGTTACCATATCAGACTTGACATCGACTGTGGAATTCAGAGGTTGAACAGAAGAGGAAAGTACTGTTGATCATCGAAAAGGAAAGAACAATACATTAGGATATCGTTTCCCACTTAGGACACAATTACCTATATGGCATATATTCAGAATTACCAAAATACAAAAAATTCAAGTTTCAGTTGGATTCTGTTTAGTGGGAACCGATAGGAGAAATGGGATCTAGTAGCATAAGTACGTCGGAAAGGCTTCTGACCTTCTTGAACCGGTAGCAAATTTTGGGAACCGGTAGAAGAAGTCCATCTTGAACCAGTAGCAAATTTGGGAATCGGTAGCAAGAGTCCTGACAGCATTAGAACTTTCAGTTTCTTATTCTAATTGTTTCCTTTTTTATCCAACCTTCCTTCCAAATCTTATGCACGAAATTTCCTTTATTTTCAGAAGGAATAGGACTTTGCAAACATCTATATAAACCATGTCACATACATTGGTTTCTTTGGGGAAGAACGTCTTTTGTTATACATATTCATTATCATTAAAAGCTTTAGGAAGTTTTTTTCTCTCAGAAAATCAAAGTTGATTTTTCTGTAGTCTTCCTAGAACATACACATATTCACCTAGTGAGGTTAAAGTTATGGAGTTCGAATCCTGATCGTGATCATACAGTTGCATCTATAACGATCAAACGAAACAGATCTTCTTCTACATCATTCAGACGATTAAAGAACAGAAGTATACGCAATCACACTTTGGAAGGGTTGGAGCATTCGCGGAGTGCTGTCTGATCTACCTACTACTCTTCTACAAATATCAAGTGTAAGCCTGAGGTCAAGTTGTTGTTGGACGGAGAGTCGCAAAGCCAGAGGATCATCAGCAGTTGGTGTGGTGTAGAACGATAGGGTGTGAGCCAGAGTCAAAGTTCGGTATACTTTATTCCAAGCATAGTGGATTGGTTTACCTTGGACTGCACAAGTCCACGAGATTTTTCCCATAACAATTAACGTATTTTATCAACTGGGGTTTCCTCGCTAAAATCCTGGTGTCATCTCTAATTTTATACTTTGCTTTATTTTATCTGCATGTGATTAACTGTTTAATTGCTAGAATAAGTTAAGTTGATAACGACACAAATCTGTTTTCCAAAACCTAAAACTTTCCTAAATACATTCCGCTGCGTACAACTCACAAGACCTACCATCAAACCCTTTGTCAAGATAGAAATTAGTAATGGCCACATTACTAATTTCTGGATTGACAACCGGTGTTCTATTGGCCCTCTATAGCATCACATTACCCCTGCACAAATTCAGAACACTCATGTTGATCTCAGGACGAAGGTTTTCATTGGATCTTCATGGACACTCTCATCTTCTATCACTGCCATTATCCCACAGTTTCTCAACCTCAATGTTCTACCATTACCCAGACCAAACCATCATGACATGGTCAAATGGTTACCATCCCCCAACAGGACATATTCAATATCCCATACAATCACAGCCTTATACCCTACCGCCATACTCCCTCGAACTCATCTCTCATGCTTCACAAATGGAATTCCAAAGCATAACTTCATATTATGGGTATCTATTTTGCACAAATTACTAACCTACAATCTCAAGCCAGTAGCCCATTGAAATACAATACTCAACTAGTCCGGAAACACGTGATCATCTATTCTTTCATTGCTCGTTTATCTCGCCCTTGTGGAACTTTTTACAAGCACGTTGTGCCTGCTACACTAGACCTTCATCATGGAGTTCATAAGCTATGTCTTACAACACTAGTACACAACATTTGGATGGAATGCAATCGAAGATATTTCAAAGGTTCCTCACTTTCTGCCAATGTCTTACTCAATCGAATTCTCACTGTTGTTAGACAAAAGTTTTCTTGCCTCTGTCTCAAATGACTCGTGCAATACTAGACATATTACTTTCGAATGGGAGCTTCCTGGATCTTTCATTTGGCTTCCACCGATGCCACCGGATTGACAAAACTTTGGTCACCTTTGTCGATGCTCAAGCAGTGGTGGTCAACTGAGCGCACCGGAATGTGTTAGCCTTTGGCTCTGTTTTGCAATCTCAGTTGTAAGGCCTACTTGTATAGGCCTACCTTGTACAAGTTTCAACGGGCCACCTTGTATCTTTTGACCCAATATGGGTATGTACTGTTTTTCATATTTATCTTCCTTGCATCCAAAAATAGAATTTCCCCTAAATTCTTTGGCATTGTACCGACACATGAACTCCTATTGCTATATGTTACACTTTTTAGCCTTTTTATTTTTATTTTTATTTTTATTTTTGAAGCTTGGAATAATGCACGGCAATCATATTATTAGCAGCGGGTTCAGTGACTGTCACAAAAAACCGCTGCCAATATAGAAGTGTTTCGTTGTACACATGGTTGAATTAAGATCTTCTAATGGACTTTTTCCTGTCCTATATTTTATGATACCTCATCAAATGTCTTAAAATACGTTAGGTTAATTGATTAATTTTTTAGTTATTTTTCTTCACAATAACATTATTAGTTTGATGAAAAGATTAGTGGCATGGGTATCGATTGAGTATAAGAAAAAAAAAAAATGAGAAGTCCCAGTTATGACCTCCAGTCCATGAGAGTGTCTAATTAGATGTTCCATATGGGTATTACTTAGTGGCCTAGTGTTATAAGGGAATAGTTATTCCACATCGAATCCAGATGGGAGAGTAATTGAGTATAAATGGGTGAGTATGCAGCACTACCCAACAGTTTGATTTTTTAGATAGGGTAAGCGCTCACCCGTTACACCTAGTTGGTAGAGTGCCGACTCTCGAACATGCGTATTCATGTTCGAGTCCCCTCCTCCTAATATTCTAAGAAAAAAACATGTATGTTTAATTTTTCTTTTTACTGAAGTACCTTTCTAGTTTTTCTTCTCACTAAACTACTTTTCTTTCTTTTTTCAATTTTTTTTATTTTTTGGATACTTCTTGTTGGTAAGGTGGCGCAAAGTCCACCAAAACTAAATACAAAACTAAACTAACGCAAGGTTTAAATACAAAACTAAATCCCTCCCTTACACCAATTGCTTTTAGGAGAAATGGTGGAAGTTCAAAAGTGGTATCAAAGTCCTCAATGGACTGACCGCCACAAACACAATGTTTAAGTACAAAGTTGAAGTCCTCTTTAGCACCAATTGGTTTTAAGAGAAAGTAAAACTTCTAATCCTGCATAGTGAAATCTTTTGAATCTTTACCTTGAAAAGTTACAGGTATTTGATTTGGTAAATGACATCACTTGTGCAATAATTTCATATCGTTTATGTGACAACTAAATTATATCGTTGTTTCAGCAATTCATTATATAGATCCGATCTAAAATCCAAAAAATCTATTTCAATAAGACAATTCCAATATATATCACCACCACCACATATATATAGGAAAGATATGAAAAGGCAGAAAACCACTTTTATTAATTTTGAGTGAGAAGACAGAGAATGAATTCATGATAGAAAAATTAATCATGAATAACATCGGTCATGATAGAAGTACAAATTACACAAAATCACTAACTGGTTTTGACTTCAAATATGCGGGCACAAGAATAGACAGAGCAAAACGCTTGTAAGCTCATCAACAAAAGGAGAAAAATAGTGGCCAGAAATGTGAGAAACTGCCATGAGCCAAACACATAAATCTTCATGAATTTTCCGACTTTGACATTCCACCTTCCATGGTAATACTTGTTGACGTCTTCGATCACTTTATCTAAGAGTGATACTTTGGTTAACCTAATAGACTTGGTCATCCCATTCCACAGATTGGTCACCTCTTTATCACTCTTCAAATGGTTCAAAATAATCCCTTTTTCTCTGAGCAGCTTTGCATCCTCTTCATCATCAACAATCCCATTCATTAATTCAGTGTAACGAGTGAAAACCAATGGCCCCGATGCATTGCATGCTTCATATGCTACTAAGTTTCTCATGATGACCTCAGTGTTCACGTCTAAGCTGACCGGAGGGAGGTACAATGTATTTGTTCTAACATCGAAACTAATGTTTGAGATGCCACCCTCAGTGGGTAAGAAACGGACACCGGCTTTGGAGAGATTGGTGACTGAAGGGATTTCGATTTCCACAGCCATTGGAGGCTTGTCACAGTTAGTATTCGAGTTAGAAGCATTCTCATTTTGGAGACTGCCTTGTTCTATATCTTGGGAAGAGAATGACAATTCAATCTTTTGTTTCAACACTCTAAATGGTGGAAGGTTTGAGATGATACCCCAAGGCAATTTTTGTATCACTAGAAATGGTCCTTTATTAAAATTTGGAAGGACCTCCCAAATCATAACAAGGAGTTGTTTAACATAGCTTGAATTGGCAGAGGATTGTTCTTCTCCTTCCTTGACTTCATTCTGATCCTGATCAACTTGATCATATGTTACTTGGGATGATTGATCAAAATTATCTTCCCATTTGGTCACTATCCCATGGTACAAAAAGTCCAGCACGTGAGCATGCTTGGAGACTTGAAGATTTGGTAACACCTTTATCATCTTAAAGGGAGAAACCTCCTTGCACAATCCCGTTAACATGGAATGTAACATATCATCCGATAATTCCAACGATGAGAATTGGAATTCTAACATCTTCCTTAATACGAAGAGTGGAATTTGATTCTCCAACATTACCATGTCACGTAGAATGGCATTATGGCCAGACTTTCTACCTGCAATATCGACCAAATGGGAAATCCTAGAATATTCTCTTGTTAGAGTCTTACCTTGTTTGAGAGCATAGATTTGTAGGAACTCAAGCAAGAATGATGCATCAATTGCGATCATCCAGGTTAAGGTTTCACCATTGAAATCTAGGTATTTGTGATAGGAAGCTCGAATCCTCAACTCGAGCTGTGTCAACTGGTCAACTAGAGAGTGGAAGTTGATGCTATGGAGCTTTTTTTGCATTCTTTTAGCTGCAGCAAGCTTGCATCTCTCCGTCTCGTAAAGCTCGGGACGCGAATGATGGTATGGACCTAGCGCAACTTCTTGTGGAATATATGAATCTGGATCAGTAGCCATTAGGATTTTGGGCACGTTGAAGATGCTCACTGGGATTTCAGTGTCCTCTTCAAGCTCTTCATCTAGGATTCGACGGATTTGAATGACCCAACGATGTTCATCAAAGTTTGGGGTCATGGTGGGGTTGAAAAGAAGAGATGTCTTAAGGGTTGTTTTTTCAAAAACAGGTTACTTATAAGGGTGTAATAAGGTAAGATGAACTTTACTAACATGAGATGAACTTTACTATATATAGGGTGTACTAAAGAATGTGTTTCTCATGTTATGACGGCATTCGTTTACTGATATCTCACTTTCATCTGCATTCCTCAGTAGTACTTCTACGTCTCTTCCTTTTGTAGAATTTGGTGTTTTGATTTTCAAATCCAAGGAAAATAACTTTTGTTTTGTTTTAAACCTCGAAGTACTGGTGGGTACAAATGAGCTAGTTTGACCCGTATCCTTTAATTAAGACTTGATCGAGTTCCACATTGCAGAAGTCAAATGAAGAACAATGACTTTGGAGTGATGTTATGACTTTCTTTTTTAGTAAATAAATTCTTTTTTCTCCTCTTTTTAATAATTACATTCTTTTTTCTTTTCTTTTCTTTTTCCCTTTTTTCTTAAGAACAAAATTGTCCGTAATACTTCTTAATTTTATTTATGAGTTAAAGACACTAATTTCATTTCACTTTAGAAGTGAAGTGCATAGATAAAAAAGAGAGTTCAAATATGGTTATGCTTCCACAATTATTTTTTAAGCTAGGAAGCATATACTTGTCCTTAGGGATGTCTTAATTATATTGGACACACGTGGAATATGGTCTAAATCCATGTCGGACATGGTTAGGAGTGCCATTAATTTGAATATTTTAGACATTGCCTAGACAGTGAGACACGACAAAAAGACATATTCAAGGTATTTCTTGATACGACGGGAATTTTAATTCATTTTTTAAAACAATGAGATTCAATGCAATTAAAATATATTTATAGGGTAATTATAAAAAATATTATTAAATTTTAAAATAGAAAATTACTAACATCAAGTTCTAAGCTTCAAATTAGTAAAATTTCATTCATGTTTATATGGATAAAATGAGCAAAAATTATTATTCATATCTATAAAAATGTGTGTGTATATATATTTGATGTATCTCTATTGTATTCATATCTTATTTTTTCTTTTTAAATTTCATGTATTGCCGCATCCTTATTATGCTATACGTACTCAAGTTTCATGTTTATATCCGTGCTTTCCAGATTGTAAATAAGTTATGAATATACGCGATTTTTCACTTTTGGTACTTGAACCCTCCAGGGACATGGTTGTCATACCATCAAGATGTCGAGTTTATGCAAAACAAATATCTTTAAACTAAATCTTATATTTGTTAGTGTTTTTTTTTTTTTTTTGAATAATAATAATTTCGCGTCTTTTAGAATAATCCATAATCTATTATGCAATTTCTCATCTCACATACACCAACTTTCAACCTAAAAAATATGAGGCCAGAGTTTTTACCATTTGCATTGTGCATTAGGGCCTTCCCATTGGAGTTGGTCACCGCATTTGGTCACGCGACACATGCATCTTTACAAACTAATTGTTAACTGATTATGTGGACAGTCTCGTAATTTACCATCCTCTGTAAATAACAAACTTATGGTACAATAAGAGACTGCTCTTGTAATTTGCCTGCAACTCAAAAGGGTGCAATGACGGCTTGTTGGTGTTAACTGGACACTCGTTTCACTATACTTTTAAAAATAGAAAGTATAATAGACTAATAAACAAATACATATAAAAAATTTTATGAAAATAAAATTTAATAAATAATAGGCAATAAAAAACTAAAAGAAAATACACTACTAAAAATTAATAAATTTGTTATTAATCATTTATTAAAAATATATATATATATATAAAAGTTAAATCGACATTTATATAGTAGCATAGATAATTACCATTCCCTATATATGTATATCATCTACACGCATCCATAACTCTTAATTAAGACTCTTGCTTAACAGGGGACTTTTTTATATTAAATATATATTATTAATAATATTTCTTTATTAAAGAGTGGGTATATCATTATATTTAAAGAGTAGGGGAGGGTGGTTTCGTCTTTTTAATATTAAATATTTGACTTAGCCGTATAACTTGAAGAGTAGAGGGGTTGGAGTTTGGTGGGTGCTTGTGTTTGTTCTACCATTCAAAAAATAAATAAATAAATCTCCACTTTCTCTAGATGTTTAAGCGTTTTTTCACATACAACACATGCGCATCAAACTTTTGACTGTATAGCGTGTTGAACTGTCCCCTATTAACATGCATTCTTTCCATGCACACACAAGCACACACAACAGCTTCCAAGTAGCTTCTGCTTCTCCAACTTCCATTTGTGTCCTCATATTTTTCTTCCTAACTACACAATAAATAACCAATCAAGAAATGAAAAAGCCATTATTCTGTACATTATTGTTTTTTAATTTTTAAAATACTTTTATTTTAAATTAATTTAATTGTAAAGAGTATTTTATATAATGTATCACCAAATACATAATATTTTTTTTTTTTTACTAATAATAATTTTCTTACAACTTTTATTGACAAAAACATTTTTTTTATTATAACAGCAACGTAAAACGGGATTATATATTGTCTTTCTGTATGACGATCTTCCTGTCCCTAACGTGTGTTGTCAATGGGCTCTCTTGTAACCAAGTTTAGTCCTTCTTGAGATTTTAATTTTTCAAGATTATGTACTTAAAGGAACTACTATCAAAACGTACGTAATATAGTGCGTGTGAATGCGTAACGAATTTAGACTATCTCGCCCAAAAAGTCAAAGACTAACAAGTCCTGCTGTACTAGGTGGAAAAACTTTAGTCCTAGAGAGCATCTTCTACTTGACATTTTTTTTTTTTTTTTTTTTCCACATTTGAGAAGTTGAACCAACATTAAAACGCGTCAACTTTTCAAAATTTATTTTCAACTCCTATTTTTATCTGAATGTCAGTGAGAACATTATTCCACCATCCTTTAAGGATTCCTGACCTATATGGATGTACTTATATTTATGCATGTGCCTCTGAAGGTCACGGGAAGATAATAACTTACCAAATAATATATGTGTGTGCAGGATCGATAATAATGATACTAAACGATTAATAATATAAGATTAAATAACAAGATTTAAACAAGAGTTAAACAGACTTACAGAAAACTTTCTTTATTAAACTTCCAAGCTAATACAGAGAAATATTACAAAAGAGAGAAAAGGAAATTGAAAGATACATTGATGGGAAACTTTGCCCTCTATTTATACATAAAATGGACTTGAAATTATCAGTTTGAAGTCCGCATAGTGCATGGGATCGTGTGCTGAAATATTGCAGTCGGTCGGCCCACCACGAAGTTCTGTCTCCTTATCGGATAGAAAGTAGATATCTGATGAAGGAAATACTGTGGAACCAAAAACTTTTGGGAAAAGTTCTTTGGCTGCTTCTGTCGGCAGGATAAGAGGAATCTTTACTTTTTGGGTGGATTCATCTTGTCCATCAAGTGACTGGTGAGAGAGTCCCAATAGTCTACTACTGTAGGCTCATCTTCAGAAATAAGATCTTCATTGGGATCTTGTGCATAACCGGCTAGACAGGAAAACTGATTACCGTCTTGACTGGTCTGGCTAGAGATTGACACCATGGATGCATCATCTCGTACTGTAGGAGTGGAGGAATCAAAGGATTTAACAAATTTGGTCCTCATAAAATCCATGCATTTAACCATTAAATCAGCTTCGGTAATTAATGGTTGTTGTTTTCTGATCATATCTTTAACAAGTTCAAATGGGTTAAAGATTTCGGGTTCTGGAATAGTTAACTTTGGAATCTTATCCATGTATTCCAGTGTTTTCTTTCTGATCTGATGGAGGAGGGCTTGGATAGGTTCTTGAGTAATGCCTGACCACCATCGGTAATAAAAGATCCTCTAGAGGACTGGTAACTTATCAGTGGTAACCACATTGGAAATCCTATTTCCAAATCCAAGGGATTCCAAATTCAGTAAAGAACAATAGGGTGGATTTCCCTACAGGAATATTATCCTGCCCCCGTAATTGAGGATGAAATTGTTGCCATGGTAAGTATAATTGGCTGATAGATTCGGGCAACATATCCAGATCAGGGCCAAATATAGCCCACCAGGGTATAACCCAGTTGGGGAAATCAGCCTTAACTGATTGAGGGCATATCTTGAAGAACCAAGAATGCTTATGCTTCGGATTTTGATAAAAGAACGAATATGTCCAAGCTGAGATATAATCCCAATAATTATAACTGTGACCATAGGATATTTTCCTTGGCAAATTGGGATTTAATCCCCAGTCACTAGGCCGTATAAGCCTCTTAAAGATAGCTTTACTATAAGTAAGAGGACTATCTTTGGAATTCGGAAATTGCTTCGTGTGGTTGATCTCCACAGAGGAAGTTTCAGTAAGAATGGCTTCATAGATATATCTATGACGACCATCCGGTGCAGCATATTGTTGAGTTTGGAAATATCTGGATTTTACTTCCCAAGGATCTGGCATCCATTGCTCATCTTGAGAATCCAGTATCAGTACTGTTTGAATATACCTTTGATTAGGTATCCATGGAGTTTCTTGTTCAAGAACCTCTTTCATGGTTGGTTTCTATTGTTTTTGCTGGGAACTGCTGCTTCCTTTAGAAGGTGTGTTGAGCAGATCAGCAACATGTTCCAAATATGGAAATTGATCATCAGTGAGTGGTATAACCACTTTGGCCTTAGCCTTGTTTTTGCCACGAGCCTTTGGAGTATTACCCCGGCCCTGCCCATGGGGGGGCAGATTCATGAACCCTGCAAAAATTCACGAGTTAGAAAATCAGGTAAAGAATTAGAACTGCCTTTAATATATTCAATAGAAAAATCAAAAGCAGATAAATCAGCTTGCCAACCAGCAAATATCTGTTTGGACACTAAATTCTTTACATCTTTTTCCAGTACTTGTTTAGCAGCACTACAATCAATGCGTAACAAGAATTTCTGATTGATTAAATTATCTTGGAATTTATAAATGCATTTAACCAAAGAAAGAATTTCCTTTTTGATGGTTGAATAATTTAATTGTGCATTTTTCCAAGTTCCTGAAGTGAAGCGAACAAGCTCCTCT